AAGAAAAGATTCAGAGGTGGAGAGGTCACCGAGCTCAGAGGTGACCCACATTCTTGAATATCTGTAGTACACCAGCATACCTCGCCTTTTTTAGAGGCTGATTCAGTCTTCCCATGAACCACATGGTTATGGATTGACTTGCTGCTAGGGCCATTTGGGTTTGTGTGATATCTTTTGACAATATTGTGCATACAAGCTTTCCCAATCTAAGAGAACATGATGGCTGCATTAAGAGAGGTGGTATATTTTTCCCACTTAAACCTCCCATGATCATTTGCTTACATAATAGCAAATATAATCAGGTCATATCTAACAATTTTATTAGTATGGAATGCAAAGTATTCAAGTTCAAAATCCACAGATTAAAATGCAAATATGTATATATCCCTTTATAATGCTGGTGTGTTTTTTGAGGAATAGAAGTATATTGATGATATCTATTTCACCAATTTTTGTATATTTATGTCAAATATTCCTATTGGCAGAATAAAAATAGCCTTATTTTTCCAATTACAAAAGTAAACATCTATTGTTAAAAAATTATACAATGATCATATCCATTTCAGAAGAAAAATAAAATTCCTGATGATCCCACCACTTAGTAACAGCAGTATTGTTTTGATTATATGTGCATCTATAATTTTTCTATGCCATATTTGTACGTTTATAAAAATAGGAAACATACTTTTAATTTGCTTTTTCCTTATAACAATGTCTTTCCTTCATTTATTTAACAATTTTTTGATCATGTATAATGTGCCAGTCAATATTCTAAATATAAGGGAGAATACAGTGAAAATAAGCCAAATACACATGTATCATGTGCATCACACTATAAGTGTAAATAGACTATATAATTATTTTAATAAGCACATAGTATTCTGTTGTATAGATTCACCATTATTTATTCAATCAAATCTTCCTTTTAGAATGTCAAGGTACTGTATTAAGTTTTCTTAAGTATAAGAGGAACTATGCATTGACCTTTGGTGAATTCTAAACCATGTTAAATTATGTCTGCTAATAATAGGATTCAGCTGGTAGTGGTACTCTGTAAAATATGACTTTATAAACAGTGATATGATTCTTGGCAGATGTGGCTAAAAAGATCAGTCAGTGTGGGCCTAGCAGTCTCTCATTTGATGGATGACTGTGGAGATCCTGGAGGCGTCTGAGAGTTGTTTCCAACTCTACCTCTGTCTCAAAGGCTGCTCTCAAAGCATGGTTCCATTCCTTATAAATGGGCACCATGTTGTCATTTTGACTGCTGTTCCTTCTCAGCCATTTATGGTTATGCAGTGATGTGTGAAGCTGGCCTTCTGGGGATTCTGGAAACATTTCTCCTTCCCTCTTTAATGGGAATTGCTGTTCTTTTGTTCTCTAGCCAAAAACCAGCAGGCCACCTTCTTGCCATCTGTGTGAGTCCTGCACACAGTGACATGAGGTGATGTCACAGAATCTGTTTGTTAATGATTTGAGCACACTGTTTGATCTTCAGTACAAAGCAAAACATAGCCCAGGAAAATTATAAACTTTTACAGTATTAGAGCTTGTACAGCCTCTGTTTATGGACAAGGATACTGAGGTTTAGAGAAGTTCAATGAATTGCCTCAAGTCTCATAGTTAGTGAATTTAGTTAGAATTTCTGATTTCTCATCACATGCTCATTCCAGGGGATCAGCTATTCCAAGTTTGTGATAGTTTCATATAGGATCCTAATAACAAGTCGGGGAACACATTGCATTGGAGCATTTCTATGTGGCCTTCAGTTAAAATGTCTTCTGTACCAAACCATGCCAGTTTCCCAAGTATGGAATTTTCATTTAATTCTCAACTTTGTTAATCTGGGAGAGGCTTTTAGATAGCATGCAATATGTACAACAAAATTCAGTGATTATTCTCAATTTCATATGCTTTCCATTAGATGTCCAATGTGACCTCCATCTTTAGGCTTATGATTGGAACATCTCACTGCTACAGTTTTGCAAAGGCAGCTCCAGCGAACTGCATGTTAAGATGAAAGAACCCCAGCAGGTTTCTGATCACATTTATCTGGGTCATGGACTGACTTGGATTGACTGGTAGATTCTACTCAGATCTTGTGAAAGTCACATTTTCTTCTTTTGGAGAGTACTGAAATCTGATTTTCAAAGAAACTCAGTGGCAAAGTACTGAGATGCTTTGCAATAACATGCTACCACACATGACTGAATCAGTCAGGGTCACTCCAGGTGAATTGGGCTGGCTACTAAATAACCATACAGAGGCAGAAAATATCTTTTGGGGGGTTCAGTGACAGCTCCTCCACCTCAGCTCCCATAAAGGAGGCAAGAGAGGCAGGCAAAGGAGAGAGAGCTCGCCTGAGACCCTACTATTTATTGGGGAGAAGCCATTCATATAATATTCTACCCAAACAAGGCAAGGGGTCAGGTTTTGGAGGGTTGAGTCTTGTCTGGTGATGTCTTGGTCAGCAGTTTGACTGACATCTTGGAAAGTCACACCTATATCAGGTGCTGTGTGGTGATCACAGGCAGAGTGAGCAAAAAGCACACATACATCCCACAGCCCAGTCAGAGCAGCAATGTCAGTCCAGTCCCCTCATGTACTCGAATACGCATAGCTCACGCACAAAGCCCATGAATGGCTTTTGATAGTAACGACTGTTTTCATGAGGGAAACTGCAAAGCAGTATATCTGACATTGCATATCATCAAAAATTACTGAGGTTTAGTCTTTTTTTTTTTTTTTTTTGGTGGTGGTGGTGAGGTACCAGAGACTGAACTCAGGGGCACTCAACCATGAACCAATCCCCAGGCCTATTTGGTATTTTATTCAGAGACAGGGTCTTACTGAGTTGCTTAGCACCTTGCTTTTACTGAAGCAGGCTTTGAATTTATAATCCTCTTGCCTCAGCCTCCAGAGCTGCTGGGATTACACGTGTATGCTACCTTGCCCAGCTGTGGTTTTGTCTTAAAAAGTGCATTCTTTTGAGGGCCTAGGGATTAAGAGTCCATACTCTAGGCCAACTGCTTAGGTTTACATTCTGAATCTGCCTGTACTGTGTAGCTTTGGGAAAGTCTCTTAATCTTTCTGTCCTCTATTCCTAATATTACTGGTACCAGGTGATATGTTAGGAATCTTAAATGAGGTAATACAAAGTACCTAAAACACTATCTGGCAATTGATAAACACCATATAAGTATTTACTATTATTATTCTCAAATTTCTCATTCATTCATTCAATTATTCAATTACAATTTATTGGAATCTCTTCTGTGTGCTACTTAAATAATATAAAGATTCTCAGCCCTCAAGAATCTCATAGCTTAGTGGGTTGAGAGACATGATGAAAACCATGACACTGTAGGTATATGGCAAGGAAAGTGACATATTGGAGAAGTATGAGTGCCATGGAAGTAAGACATAGAAACACCTAAGGGGAAGGCTTTATAGGGGCTGTTTGATCTGGGAAAAGAAGAATGAAAAGGAGTTGGTCAGCAGTCATCAGGAGTGGGTGTTCCAGGCATGTACAGAAACAAGGCCTAAGAGGTAGGTAGAATAACTAGAACAAAAAACACAGTGGCTGAGTGCAACCCAATTCAGGGACTGTTGATATAAGCAGGTAAGAACCAGAAAGTCCTATATTCTACAGAGGTTCCTGTGAGAGATGATAAAACTTCAAATATGGACATTGACCATGCCACCCTGGAGCCCTCACTGAGAGGGAGCCCAGCAGTGGAGTAGGGTGAGGAGCAATGAGGGCAGTGGGCACACCTGTTGTATCTGGTTATGTCTGTCCCACAGCTGATTGGAAGACACCCAGGTGCTATTCTGCTCATCTATACACTTTCTCTCTGAAACTTAAATGGTTATTTACGGGCATGTGATATTATAAAAACGTCTATTTTGGTTTTTGTCCATAGTTCCTGGCTTATACCTCCATTGTCTTTATTTCCTAAATGACTACAACAATAAATTTGAAGATTTTTGCCTTTTGGCTTTGGTTCCTGAATGTGTATGTGGGCGGGGGGGGGCACTTTCAGCTTCAGAAACAGATTTCCCCAAAACCAAAGGCTTTCTCTCTAACCTGCTTTCACCTGTTCCTTTCCCTCTCCAAGGCAAGCCATTGAAATCAGAATTTCTCTTCCCCAAGGCAGGTCATAGAAATTAAAAATAGAATCTAATTTTCCCTCGCCTTTTCTTCTATAAAATGAATTCTCTGATATTACATCATAAGACCGCCATTGCAGAAGGAGTCCTACCTCCCACACACTGGAGAAGGAATGCAACACAGAGAGGCCAAGATGAATCTGAACAGACAGGCCATGCTGGATTTCCCTACTCAGCCTATTAGCACAGGTCCTATCTTTTTGACCAATTACATTTCTACATAGTTGTCCCATGCTTTATACCTAGGCAATGAGCTTTCCTTAAAAACCCAAGTGGACAAAGTTCTAAGCTTTGGGACAACTAAGTATGTGGCGGCTTACAGGAGAGTAAGTAAGAACTCATCCATGTGCTGGGAAGATGATACACTATAACTCCATGGTGACCCCTCCAGACTTCACCCTGTGTATTTCTTCAACTTGCTATTTATTTATATCATTTAAATTATATCATTAAATTTTCCTTTATAATAAACCAGCAAATATAAGTATTTCAGTGAGTTCTGTGAGCCTCTGTAGCAAATTAAATGAGCCTGAGGTGAGAGATAGTCATTGGAAACCCAACGCAAAACTGGTTGGTCAGAAGTTTCAGAGGCCAGGATTGAGGACTAGTATCTGAATCAAGGGAAGTCCTGTGGGACTAAGCCTTCTATCTGGGAGATCTGACATTATCTGTCAGAACTAAATTGGATTAGTGTATGCCCAGCTGGTGTCCAAAGCAAAATTGCTGGCTTACTGGTGGAAAAAAATTCCTATGCATTTTGGAATCAGAGAGTGATGGGTTGTGAGTATATTGTGGAAGAAACTGAATTTCTTTTTCTCTTATCTCCTCAGGGCATGTGAACATATTGTCACCATAAGGGACTTCAAGGAGATCTTTCCAGAGGCAGAAGAAACATCTACTTGGAACTCATGACACATTGCAGAAGTTAAGGACACATCAAGTTTTAGCAAAGAGGAAGAGCCTTATTAAAAGTGAAAGGTAACGACGCATGTGTGTGTGCTCTTTTTTGTTAAATACTTTTAAATATATCTTTTTAGTTGTAGATGAACACAACACATTTATTTTATTTATTTATGTGGTACTGAGGATCAAACTCAGTGCTTCACATGTGCTAGGCAGGCACTTTGCCGCTGAGCCACAACCTCAGCTCCTGTGTGTGCTCTCTTGAAAGTGAGAAGTGCTTTTGAGTCTTAGGCTCTTCTTTTAAACAACACCTTATGAAGGGTGGCATGGGAAGGTATGTGTGAACAATGCCAGCTTGGTGAACTCAGCTCTTTGTTCGTGGACCACAAGATATTTTTGGTGGTTAATCTTCCAAGATTGACATTGTCTTTTTTATCTAGGTAATATTTGGAATGTGCCTATATTGTAGATTTTTAAAATACATCTCCCTTTGCTTTATCTAATTTGAAAATCCACTGTGTAGGCTAACAGTACATTTAAGCTTTAATCAAAATGAGGCAATTTTCACCAGGCATGGTGGCACATTCTCTAATCACAGCTACTCAGGAGGCTCAGAAAGAAGTATCACAAGTTTGAGGCCAGCCCCAGCAACTTAGCCAGACCCTGTCTCCCAATAAAAAAAAAAAAGGGTTGGGGGTATTTTTACAGTGGCAGAACACTCCTGAGTTTAACCCTCAGTACTGTGGGGGGAAAAAGACAATTTTCATAGAAAAGTGAATTTATAGTCACTAAAATTTGTAGATTTCTCAGAAATTTGGGAGTGACAGATCAGGAGGAAAAAACAGGTCTGGGGAGAAGGTCTGATGATGGGGCTTTTAGATTTACAGCTACAGTCTCCTTCCTTTCCTTTTGTCTCCTTTCTACTGATCTTTATTCCCTCTATCCTTTTTCCATGTACTTTTAGGGAGGAGGAAGTCACAACAGTCATCAGAAACATATAATTTCACTGTTTTATTGAATGTTACTGAAAACGAAATGTATTATTGGTAGTTTTCAGTTTAAACTAGGTAAATAAAACATTTTCTTGTTTTTTTTTTTCTTCTTCCAGTGTTGAGGATTGTATAAAACCAGGACCCCACACATACTAGGCAAGTGCTCTGCCACTAGGCTACATCTCCAAGGCCTTTTAAAAAATTTCAACAGGGTCTGGCTAAATTGCTAAGGCTGGCCTCGAACTTGTGATCCTCTTGCCTCAGCCTCCTGAGTAGCTGAGGTTACAGGCTGCCCCACCATTCTTGACTGTGATTTTCTTTTTTAAAAAATTATTTATTTTTGAAATGGTAAGGATTAAATTCAATGCTTCACTCATGCTAGGCAAGCACTATGCCACTAAGCCACAAACCCAGCCCTGTGATTTCTTTTTAAAAAAACTTTTAAATGAACAATTTTAGCTAAAATATTAAATTATTACCATGAATAATGCATCTACCTTACTTTTCTCTGCTTTTCCTAAATTATCTTTAAATCTTAAAAAAATATTTTGAAAGGGGCTTCTAAGTTATAAGGCAAAGCTTTAAGATTGAACCCCTACATAGTCCAAGGCATGATTTTGTAACTTTTTATAAATATTAAATGAATTCAAGGCATACCATACTCAATAAATAGAAATTTTAATTTCAATTCCATTTTGAGCCTAATTAAAAATCTTGGGCTAAAGGTATAGCTCAGTGGTAGAATGCATACTTAGCATGAGCACCAATTCCTAGCATCCCAAACACACACACACACAAAGGTAGTTTGGGGAGAAGGATTGTGAGGATTGTGAGGAAGCACAAAATTTTATATTCTTTTTTAAAAAATATTTTTAGTTGTAGATGGACACAATACCTCATTTTATTTTATTTTTATGTGGTGCTGAGGATTGAACCTAGTGACTCACATGTGCTAGGCAAGTGCTTTACCACTGAGCTATAACCCCAGCCCTACATTCCTGTTTAATTTTCAAAAATTGCATTAAAATCAATTATAAGGCAAAAAATATATATAGTTGGCCCTCAGTATCTGTGGGAGATTGGTTCTATACCCCCACTGCCCAGGGATACCAGGATCTGAGGATGCTCTGGCCCCTTATATAAAATGACATAGTATTTGCATAATCTATGCACATCTTCCTGTGTACTTTAATACATTATAAATGCTATGTAAATATTATACTGTTTTGTTTAAAGAATGATAAGAAAAAAGACATGTTCGACCAGACACTTTGTGTGTGTGTGTGTGTGTGTGTGTGTGTGTGTGTGTGTATGTGTGTGTGTGCTCCCATGTGGCACTGGGGATTGAACCCAGGGACAATCTGCCATTAAGCTATTCCCCACCTTTTAAAAAATGATTTTACTTTGAGACAGAGTCTCACTAAATTGCCCAGGCTGGCCTCAATCTTGTGATTCTCCTGCTTCAGTCACCTAAATCTCTGGGATTAGAGGTATGTGCCACCACACCTGACTTACCTACCCTTTTTAAAGAGGATAAAGACACAGACTAATTGAATGTTTTAGGCATAGCCAACAGCTGAGTAGAGCAAATATTAACAGCCAGACTTTCTACCAATCCATAATTTATTTTTTCTTCAACCTTTATTCAGTAAATAATTATGAAGTGATTTCTATATGTAAGATGCTATTTTAAACATGGTAACACTGATGGCTAATGGAGGAGTGGAGTATATCAATGATCATGGCTCCAGGACAAAAGCAAGTAGAGGGAGGCAAAGCCTAGTCCTATGGGAGCTGGGAATAGATCCAACTTAGTCTAGGAAAGGCTTCCCAGCAGAGCTAGATCCTGGGCAGAGTGTTGAAGATGGGCTGGGGTTGCGAGTCTAGGGGGTACTGGTTTGGGTGCTTAGGAGACAGAGAGTGAGAACACTTTGGAAGAATTCCCAGTGTAATGATCCAGGCCTTAGGCCATATAAATTGCATGGGGAAGTGGACTCAAGAGGAGACTGGAATAGAGAGGTCAGAGAGAAAAGGCCTGTTTGCATGGTAAGAGCTTAGTATTTGTATTGCAAACATACAATGGTGAGTTATTAAGTTTTGAGGAGGAAGTTATGATCATATTTCCATTTTTTATCCTATCACCCTGAAATGGCTGGAAAATGAAGGGAAAGAATGAAGTGAGGGTGTGGTTGTGTGTGTGGGGAAGCCATTATGCAAGGAAGAAAGGGCATTTATGGTAATTGGTTGTTATCAGCAACTTAAATTAATTTTGAGTGAATTAAGGGAAAACAGTAGAAATGGAAAAAGCAAATAGATTCCAGAAATGCTGAGATAAGATCAGCAGCTCTAGATGTTAGAAGTAGGGGCAGGATCAATCCTGAACTGATGGAGATATTTGATGGTGAATTTGAAGTACCTGTGGACATTCAGTTATACACCTCAAGAATGGTTAAATATTTGAATCCAACCCTCAGGAAAGATGTGGCTAGAGGCATATTTGGGAATCAGCTGTTAGAGGTTCCAACTGAAGCTAAGGGCCTGGGAAAAGTACTTGAGTGAAAGGCATAGTACAGACACTAAGAAGGATGGATCTTTGGGAACACAGCTGTCAGGGATGGTGGAATAAGAGAATAGAGGCAAGGCAGAGAGGTACTGTCACTTAACCCAAGAGAGGAGGAACTAGTTAGCAATGGGAGTTCTGCAGAGCTCAGGAGAGATAATCACTCAAACAAGCTAAAAGCTTGTTTCAAACCTTTTCAAAGGTTTCATCAAACCTAAGCTTTCACTAATGCCACTGTCCTTACCCCACTCCCTTATTACTCCCCAGCACCCCTTTACTCACAGACCAACAAGAAGCGACAGCATTCTTATGCTTGTATTTTGCTCCTTTCTTGGGATGCCTCATCCTTGTCTAAGTTCTGTCCATCTATCCAGATCTATCACAAGTCCATTTTGTCCATGGCTGCCTGCATGTGCTCCAGTTCTGCTCTATACAGACCTGTATAATTTTACTTTGTGTCACTGGAGGAGTTCCTGGAGAGGGAGACCTTGTCTCAGAAAAAATGGGGTTCTTGGTACATGACAGAACAGCATTTCAGCACAAGCCAGTGACACAGACAGATATATTTAGGAAAGCAGATACACATTCAAGGAGAATGTGGGGTAAAGCAAGGAATACACATCCAAGAGAAGATGCAGGCCATCTCCAGAGGGAGACAGCAACCCCTTGGTCTGGGGTGTTACTATACATAGAGGGAAAGTAGCTAAGAGGTGAAGGGCAGAGTTATGCAATTTCATGCCAGTTTTCCTGCACTTGTGTATCTCTCTCAAATTATGTTACTTTTTTCAGGCAAGAACATGGGCCAAAGATATGGTAGGTTGCTCAGGAATTGCTTATTTTGCATTTCAAGGTTCATGGGCATTTTCAGTGGCTCACAGGCCTTTCTCTTTTGAGACTCGGTGTATCTTTTTCTGTATCCCTAAATTCCTATCTCATTTATACTTGATTATGTTCCATTTGGTGTTTTTAGCTATTGATTCATGAAATCCGACTCTTCTTATAAGCTTCTTCAAATAAGAAGTCATCTTCTTCTGTGGTCTCTGTACCCTGGAATAGTATTGAACAGATAATCCTTACTCTGAAAAAGCTTTCTGGTTGATCAAAATGATCAATTTGCCTTTTGACTTGTCCAGGTCATGAGGATTCTTTTTTTTTTTCCTTTTGTGGTATTAGGGATTGAAGCCAGGGGAACTCTACCACTGAACTACATCCCAGGCCCTTTGTATTTTTTATTTTAGGACAGGGTCTCATTAAATTTCCCAGGCTGTCCTCAAACTTGTGATCCCTCCTGCTTCAGCCTCCCAAGTAGTTGGATTCAGGATTTTTTTTTTTTTGGTTCCAAGGATTAAACCCAGGGTTGTTTAATCACTGAGCCACATCCCCAACCTATTTTTATTTTTTTTATTTTGAGACAGGGTCTCACCAAGTTGCTTAGGGCCTTGCTAAGCTGCTGAGGCTGGCTTCAAACCTGAGATCCTTCTGTTTCAGCCTCCCAAGCTGCTGGGATTACAGTAGTGTGCCAC